GCGGCGTGAGTGGCTGATAGTTCATCATCGATTTTAGTTGGGGCCTACGTATCTTTTTTTTTCAGCAGACAGATAATCGCGCGGATGCTTGAATTCAGTAATGGCGACGTTAAGGTGGAGTGCGCTCAGACGCCTTAAAACAACGGCCGCCCGGGAAGAGGAAAGGATGCAGACGGGGGTGGGCCCGCAGCACCCTGCAAAGTCTCAAGCCTCACGCCAACCGTCAGTTGTAGCCGGCTCGGAGCATAAATCTGGACCAGGAGGGCGATAAGTGCAGCGATGTCTGGCGTCTGGCAGCGTGGAGCTTGGAGCCGAGCTTGGCGTCTGCGGTGCGGTGCTGGACCCCCAGGTTTTCGAGGCCGGGTAGTTGTCAGCGATATTGACGGGGCGCGTCTGGCACTTTTGCTTTGATGATTCAGTCAGTTTCTGGCGCGGGCTGCGTGGAGCAGCTGCACTGGTGCTGGTGTGTTGATTCATGTTCTGGTATAGTGGTGGGCTAGTTTGATGCATGTGGTCTCTGCGGCCTCCACTCTCTCTGGAGCGGGCTTGCAGGCCATGCAGGCGTGTGGTTTAGGAAGCCCTGACGGCCCGCTCTCTGCTCTCGTGGCCCAACTGGCGAGGGAGCAGAGTGTCTAGCTCAGCAACAGGCTTGGCTGTATTTTCGTGGGGCGTGACGGAATAGGCTGGTGGCCGGGTAAAAGAGAGACAAACAACGGCATCGGGGTTTCGCAGCCCAGGTCTGTTTCGAATCAAGGCAGACCGGGGGGTTGCACACTGTAACCCGGCGGCAGCCAATATGGAGCAATATGCCAGATATCACGTAACTCGGTCCATGGGCAGCGTCGAGCGGAGGTAGCATTGCGAGCATGTGGCCAGGCCTGCCAGTGCTAAGTGCTTCATGATACTCGGCGCACCTGAGGGCAAGACGTGGACGACTCGACTCGTCTGTGCAGTCAGTCATAGTCACAGTCGTCGTGGAGCTACTAGTGCGGGATGGGTGGCTGCGCAGCCTTCATCTGTTAGGCCGTCGAGTCGAATGGGGTCAGGGCTGGGTTGCGGCTAAAAGCGATCTGCCCTGCGACGCCATTGCTGTCCGCCTCCGCGCTCCCACTGGCCGTCGGTGGGGTCGCAAACGGCTCAGCGTAAGATGCACCCAGTCAGGACGGGTCTGCCCAATTCCGGGATTTTGGAAGAGAGAAGGCGACGCCCAGGCCGTCTCATGCGTCCGTGAATCGACGACATGAGACATGGCCTCCGCACCTGGATGCCGGACTCTGCTGTTCAACGGGCACGGCCGACTGTGGCGTGCGCTTGACCATGGCGGGCGAGCAGGGCGACGCATCGAGAGACATGGCTTCACACTGGGCCTCGCTTGCCGTCGAGATTGATGAGCGAGTGCGAGGAGTAAGAGGAGGGCCGTCATGCGGCCATTGAGACACATGGCCAGCGTGACTGGACTGGCAGACGCGGCAGTTGGTGTCTACCGTTGACCATGTCTCCCGCAGCAGCGAGCAAATTGACCAGTGTGAATTCGCCGGTCGCGCTCACAAGGTTTTCAGGGTTCCCTCGAGCCACAGTGGTGTTGTTCGTCTATGTAACTTGGCTCGAAATGAAATTCCATCTGGGCACCCATCAGGCTGACAGTGACATGCCATAGCCAGCCAACACAACACGTGACCCTCCGTGCACCGTTCATTCCAGGACCTATAGCTCGTCATAAAAGCCTTGTCTATCGGCCAGGGCTGTTTTATTGTCAACCGTGCCAGTGCTGCCATGTTGCACTGCAACCCTGGCAGGTGCCGCCTTTTGCACTCGTCGTCACAATTCCTGCTGTCCGCACGGAGCAGCATCCGCGTACCTGCGCGCAGCACCCCAGCCTAGTCGCTCCGCTCGTGTGCGACGTCAAGCGGACGCATTGCTGCTTTGACACCAACGTCCTGGCTCTCCTGGAAACGCTTTCCTTGACCTGTGGTCCTGCCCCCCTCTTTCACTGGAACATCTGTCATCGCGCCTGCCCCCTCGGCGGACGGGTCCCACCCAATTGGCAGTTGCTGTCCGGGAGCACCTGCCGTCCCAGAGCCCTAGGTACTTACCCTACGCGAGCACCTGCCCTCGCAGCACCTATCCTGCCTACACTGCATCAATCCACCCACTGAATCCATGATCCATTCACCTTGCCGGCAGGAACCCTCTTCCCTCGCCCATCTCACCGTAACCGCGACCGCGACCGCACCGCCCGTCCCACCCCACCCCTAGCCTAGCCCGTCTCCCATCCCAACTCGCTACCCTCTCCCGCTACTCTCCCACTACCAGCCGCCCTCCAAAATCCCCCGGTAGCGATCGACGACTACGCTCTACCAGCCCCATTCAGATACCATGGGACCCAGTTTGGCAACTATAAAAGAGAGACAAACAGCGACCCCCCGGAAAGGCAGATGGCGTGGTCCTCTTATCAATTCCGGTCTGGGGTCGGCAATTGCTCCCCCCCCCCCCCTCCGTTGATGCTGACTCCCACCCGCAGATTATAGTGGGGTTGCTAAAACCCCAGCCTCTGCCACACACGTTCTTGATCCGAGATTGAAAACCCTAGCGGCGCTGATCCCAGGAATCTTCACCGCCAAGCATTGCCTGGACGTCGGCTGTAATGGGGGCAGCGTCAGTACACAACTCGGTAAGTGCAGGAAGGATACCCCTGTCAATTCCTGCAACCGACTATTACTACCATCGACTCGATATTGATCAACTTGCAGCTTTTGACTTCCACGCCGCCTCCGTGACCGGCGTCGACATCGACCCCCAGCTGGTTGGTCAAGCCGAGAAGCTCTTCGCGCTGCGCGCTTCCCGTGCCAGACCCCCCACGACCGCCCAAGCACCCGCACATGTCGTAGACTACTTTCCCATGTCGGCCGTGCTCTCTCACGGCTACCGCATAGAGCCGGAAAGCAGGGTTTCACGCAACGCGTCGACTGCGTCAGCCCGTTGGCCTCGTGTAAACTTCTACTCCGCAGATTGGGCCGTACCCACTGCCCAAGATGTCGCAGAAGACTACCATGTGATCCTGGCATTATCCGTCATCAAGTGGATCCACCTCGAGCATGCTGACCAGGGCCTCATCGCCTTCTTCGCAAAATGCTCTGCATCGCTCAAGTCTGGTGGACACTTTATCATCGAGCTTCAAGGTTGGGACTCATACCAAAAGGCCGTCCGTCCAAATCACGCTCCGCACTTTCAACAGGCCTTGGACAAGTTGGAGCTACGGCCAGAGACCTCCTTTGATAAACTGCTCCAGGACCAGGGCCTGCACCTCTGTGCTTCTTCGGATGCCCTACCCCGTCGCATCAGCGTGTATCGAAAGGTTTAAAGGCACTACGCGCCAGAACCACACCCCATGACCACCATGGTCTGCTCGGAATGTTGCCGCCGACATTTGTGCATCTGGCCATTTCTCAAACACGTACGGTAATATTGGTAGGGGTACATCGCAATGTCCATGCCCATCAGAAATCTTGTTTCCGCATGCTTGGATAATCAATCTCGTGTATTCGGGATATATGATCTCGCTCTGGACCCTGGATATATTAGCCTCCTTGTATGAAATCGTTCGGCATGTTTGGCCTGATTGACCCTGCTTCCCGTGGCGCACCGTTTTCTTACAACACCTATATGTGTTGCCGTTCAAATCTCTCTGCATCACGCATACCGCAAACAAACCATCCTTTGATCCGATCACACCTACTGTCGGGCATTCGTTATCCAGATAGATAAGGCGCAGTCATCGAGTGGCTGCCAATTACTCAATCTGCGGGGCCGTGCTCCACATGTCTGGAGTTCTCTCCGGTCATGTTCCCTGCTGGCCGATCTCTCTCCTATTGGACCCGAGTTATACCAGCTTGCGCATCGTACGATCGTGGCGGGCACACCTTGCAGAGATCGTCCAGATAGCAAGAAAAACATCGTTTCAGCCAATTCTATTCGCTTCAGTATTGCAATTCGCAGCGACGAGCGACTATCCTTGGACATATCAGCGGCCATTGAAATACGGCTTGGCTCAAGTAGTGGACCAATACCATGGCGTAATTACCGGAAGACTAGAGCCTAGCGGGGTTCCAGCAGTTCGACCAAACCATAGAGCAGTTACCGTATGAGGTTGTGGACTTGCGCTAGCCGCGTCACAAGACTGCACGTGAATGACTAGGAGTAGTGGCCCTGAGAGTTTTGACATATGTTTGACGTGCATGTCCGGGGATATAACTTAACCGCTGGAGCGGATGAAGCCTGCTAACGCAAACCCTATCATACCGGGTCTCGTTCGAGCCGCGCATCATGAGCTCATCGTCGGCCATATTGTGTGACATTGCTTCTCAACTATTTGCGTTTCCGGGCATGGCACGCCAGGCCAGGTGTGTAGCTAACAGTGCATGGTGGAAAGGTTGTGAGCCTCACTACTACAGTGTCTGTTCTAGGCCGAGCTGAGATCCCGCACTGGTAGGGTCCCCTGGATATGCAATGAAGGACTTTCGTTTGGCGCGCCTCACTACATTCAAGGAAGAGCTAATTGGAGTGATCGCCAGCCATGAGTAACCAACAATCCTCGTCATTTTACTGACTAGAAAACCCCACGGCTTGTTTGTGCAAGTCCAGTCTCGATGCTCACCGACTACGGTTTTGTGCGGGACTCGAGTGCGGCCAACAACGGGATGTGCATGGCAGATAGCCCAGTAACTGCTTTTGTGAATTTTTGCAGCGCATGTGAACAGGTTGCGACTAGTGCCGTAATCAGTCCGGGATCTGTAGGAAAGTGCATACCGTCATCTTGGACTAGTAGCAAAACGCGTTCGGAGACTTGGCTGTATGAGCACGGAGAGTGGATTAGCTAAAAACAGGTAAGTAATAAGTCCAGCCATGTGGTTGAACGATGAGACCTTGTAGTCCAAGTGGCGCACGCCCACTACCACAGTTTCTAGATTGGAGTTTGCGGTGCCCGCGGGTTCTCATAGGACACTGGAACTCGCAGCCAAGGTACGGTATGAAACGTCCATGTGCATGGCTAATATGGTTCAAGTTTGTATTGCATAGGCATGGCCGTACGGGTTTCCGCTAGCGCAGTTTGAAGGGAGTGGTGCCATCGAAGGTCAAAGGCAGCATCGTATATCGGACATGGAGTAATCTCGCAGTCATGCACTCTGACGGAGTAATCTCGTAGCCGTGCACGCATACACAGTTGTGGTCTCTGGGTATTGGAGCGACGACGAGTGACGCTTCTGCAAGCCAGATGCTGTTTGGACTACTGTCGTCAGCACGCCCTGCAACCTATGGGGCTGCAGTATTCTTTTGTATGCTCGGTCGCACGACAGACAGGTCGGTGACCGATTAATGCATCGGCAGTTTGTCGCTAGCCGAGAGTGAGAATTGGATCCAAGTGTGTTTGTGGAAGGCAGTGTGTGTCAGCTTGCGTGAGCACAGCGGATCGAAATCGATATTGGCCGGTTGACAAAGTATTGAAATTTCTCTCTTTTGCTTTGATACTCTGTATGGTCTCTCCCACTTCTTGCATTCCAAAGCTACGTATGGAAAAGTGATGCTATCGAGTGTTGGATAAGCTGCTTGTCGTGGATACACAGCTGTCGATGGTGGAAGAGGTCGCCGACTCAATGGGGGTGGTCCCTAGATGAACAACGCATCGTCGGATAGCTGCTTTGTGAAAGCACACACGTACAGTTACAACAGCGCCTTGCACAAGCGATGGTGCTCTAGATGATGCCGGCTGAGCTGGCTCTGAGTGACAACAAAGCTACTGCACTGCACCTTGCGCTCATCTCCTCCTCAACACAGCATCTCGACAATGGCAGAGGTGAAAAGACAAAGGGGTAGAATACATGTCTGGCAGACATTCAAGCGGCACATGCAAAGTATGTTGAAGAAAGTGCCACAGTCAGCTACAACTCGGCTGGTTTCCTGTATTGAGCCGATTCCGGTCGAAGTTTGTGGAGAAAATGTGGCAGTTGTGGCATTTCGTCTTGCCGCCCTCGGAACACGACTTGCTGCAGTCTCGATTACGTATGCGAGGGCAAGGCCAGTCGATAGCGAGCGTTCATGCATTTACCAGGGGCTATGCAGAACATAGTCCTACCTGTCGTGAGACGTTTCCAGCACATCATACCTCTCACTTGCCTTTTTGCCACGAACGCTTGCATCTTGCGTGCGCGCGCGCCCGCACTTGCGCGCCCCCAACTACGGAACTCGATCCGGCCCAGCTGTGTCTGCGTATGTGTGTGTGCTGGAAGCGGGAAGCGACGAGGGCCCGCCGTTTTTGATGAGACGTGGGTGTTTTTTTACACCTGCTCTGGACGCGACAGGTCGACGCGGGGCTGGCAAAATGGCAGTGGCCACCTCACCTTGCTGCTTCGGAGACTTTGTACCTTTGAGAAGAGAGCTCTTTTTTCCCCTCCCTGGCCTGAGCAGGACAAGCAAGGTTTTCGCAGGGACCGACGCAAGAGGATGCGAGGGACATGTTGACCCCCGTCTCGCCATCATCAATGGCCGTGATGGGTAGCTGCCGCTGCTGATGGAGCGTCTGCGGTGGCGGGCCTCTTCAGCTCAAATGGACGACTACCTGGCGACTAGGCGGGAAGCCAAGCGCTGCAACAAGAAGGAGTATATATAACCTTGAAGCAGCATCGCGGGTGGGTTTCACACGAAATATCTCGTCCACTCTCTACATGTACCATTGCCGGGTCATGATTCAAGCCGCCGCCCATAGCTTGGAACCGGAACAGTAGCCTCAGCCCGAACAAGGAAAAACAAAATCATCGACGCGTTATCAGGTAGGCAGCAGAGAAATCCGGGAGTAGCATCAGTGCGTCTGAGCACGTGTTTGCGTGTATCATCTATAGGGCCCGCGACTTGTCATGTCGTAGTCGTTGTGAGGCGCAAATCTGGGGCGCAGAATGGGGGCGCTTATAGGACATGAAACCGTCTTGGTAACTGACCGTGCGATAGGCTTTGCCTGACAAGATTCCGCGCGGGCGCTTCTCACGATCCCTCTTGCAGATCGCTGGTTCTGGTTATTCGACATCCTGCCGACGGTCAGACGTAAGCCGGATCCTTGCTTTTGCCCAAAGGCGAATGACCTTCCGACCTCCGTCGCACAGAGCTAGACAACCAACGCGAACACAACTTGCGGCATCGCACATATCGCCCTTGTCATTTACATAGAGATCAACTTGGCCAGCCATCGCAGCAACTCCCAGCCCTAGGAACAGGAAACTGCCCTTCTCCCACCGCCCAGGCGCAAACTCGATCCCGTTGCTATCCGCGAAACCACCTTCTCCTAACCCGCATCGCCCCCATTTACCGAGCCATGCCGCCCGCGAGCTCCTCGTTTACGCCCCTTAATGTGGTAGACGACGTGGTACCGGAATGGCTGGGCTCCTTCACCCTCGCCGCGCCCCCAAACACGGATCTCTGGAGGAAGCCGCAAACAGGAGACACGGTGACGGCGCCGATACTCTATACCGCGTTGCGCAACCCTTTTATAGCCGCAGAGGTCACCGTTTCCTCAGACTGGGAGCTTGAGTGGGATCAGGGAGGGTTAGTCATCTTTGCAGGCGCACCGCCAGGCCAAATACCGCCGGCAACAGCGGAGGCGAATTCGACGACGACTCCTCCCGAGGTGCCGAATATTGCAGATATCACTCTAGAAGACAGCGATAGCAATAGCACCAGCGCTGCACCCAGCCCAGCGACCCAACACGCGCAAACCACCAGCATACCCAACCCAGAAACCTTTGTCCCATCACCAGACTCTCAACAACCCCAAGACCCCAGCGTCGCCCCACCCGCCTACTACGCTCCAGCCCCGGCCTCAAAATGGGCAAAAGTCGGCCTCGAATTCTCAAACAACTGCTCGTACGCCACCTCGGTCGTGGCAAACTGCGAAGGCGCAGACTGGTCTCTCAGCGCCCTCCCGCCACACCAGCAACGGCGCCTCGCGCTCCGCGTCAAGATTGAACGCATTGGCTATGCGCTGTGGGTATGGTACGAGGACGAGCTGCTCGGCTGGAAGAAGCTGAGAGAGGTGACGTGGTTTTTCTGGGGCGTGGAAGATAAAGCTGTACGTGTGGGCGTGTACGCTAGTCGACCGGCGAATTTTGGCATCTCAGCCTTCGAGAGGAGGGCGAATGGTGGCGTGGGCGGGTTGAATAGTGGGTCCAGGAATTTGTATGTGGATTTTGAAGGGTTGGAAATTATGTAGAGGTGGTGGTGGTTGGATGGGTTATGCGCATGCGTGTGATGTGGTGATGGTGATGTGATCATTGTCTCTATTTTTGGTCTTTCGGCTTCTCCGAGCTCCCTGTCTGTTTCCACCCTTGTACATCTTTCCCCCTCCTTCCCTTATCTCGGTCGGCTCAGTCTGTTCGTTTTGCATTCGAGACATTTTATATCTCGGTTTCCGTTGGGTGTTGGGGTTCATGGGAGGTATCTCATCCAGCTTCATGGCTTGTTTTTAGCTTTTCTGCGCGATCTCTCTTTCCTGGTCGAATATATTTCCCCCTCTTGTTCGTTTATGCATTATACACTATACATCATCATTTAGTCGGTCGGCAGTCTTCCAGTTAAAATGAGGTAGGATTTCAAACGTCGTCTAGCATCTAGGCTTATCGCTTGTATTCTACATATCTTATCATATATCCTGCTGCTTTGCTGCTTTTTTGCTGTCTGCTTCCTTCTTGGTTCTCGTCCGCTAGGGTCATTCTTCTCAATCACTGGTGGTTGTTGTCTCTGTAAATCCAACCTGTCCACCGTTTGTGTCAATATTTGCGGGCGGATTTCACAGCGTCTGAAATGGCAGGTTGTTCACTTTGTTGTTATTTATCCAAGAGCGAGGCAGTTCAGGAGAGGATCTAAGAGTGTTTTGTGGCGTGCTTTGGCAAGAAGCGATTCAACGGACTGGTGGTGTGGAAAAGTAAAGTATCTGGTACATATACATCAATACAAAGAATTTATTTGGTACCTGCTTTGCTACATGGTGACAGAAATATGCATGTGAGATGTTGAATTATTAAGATATGTACGCGTGATTAGTTGGAGAATAATAGCAATGGCAAACGACGAGTGCAAACGCCCCCTTCTAGCTACTTGCTCACATTGAAGAAGGATGACTGATATAGGTGAACGTGTGAAGTGTGTACTAACCGCAACATACTTGTCGATATCATACATCCTCACTGAAGTCTCACTCTTCCCATCTCCTGCATCGCCGTCGCGTACCGCTGCTGCGAAATGGTACCACAAACCTACCTCCACCGATCCCTTCTTCTCTATCTTTTGGCATCCACAACTTTCACACAAGGCGATGAGGCGAAAGATGACATCACATCTCCCACCCACCTCCCATCCAACTCAAGAAGTGCAATCTCACCACCGCCATCAGCCGCCTGCTGGACCACCACCCCCTGCCTCAACACCCTCGCCCCCTTCAGCACCTGCTACCTCACCACCGGCCCCTTAACCCCCACCTTAAACCTCACCTCCCTCTCCCTGTCCTACCAAGCCTGTCTCTGCGCCCCCAGCTTACCGTACCTACACCTCATCCCCAACATCGCCGCCCACCCCGACTCCAACGTTTCCAGCTGTCTGGCTTGTATGCAACAGGCGGATGTGAATGTTACAGACCGGGATGGTGTGGTGGGGCGGTGGGTCCGGAGTGTGGACGGGTTTTGTGCTGCTGAGGTACCGGAGTTGGAGGGCTTGTTGGTTGCGTTGTTGGAGTGGTTGAAGGGGACGGGGGAGAGGGTTGAGGGGAATAGTAAGCTGGGGGGGATTGAGGGGGTTATGAGTGTTTTGGGGGTGACGGCGACGGGAACGAAGATGATGGACATGGAGAGGTATCTGACACAAGTGCCACACAACTGGCCGTATACGGCGCCTGCTGTTGCGAGACGGGCGGGCGTGACGACGAGGTTTGCGTTGGTGGAGGCAAGCGAAAGTGGTTCAACTACCCCCATTGGCCTTGAAGAGACAAAAGTACCGAGAACTGTTGGCTGGGTAGAAGCCAGTCTACTCTGGTTTCCAAGATTACTCTACACACCACGACCGCCGTCTCCATCATCGCCATCTGCGAATCAGACAGCTAGGGCTGGGGCGTATAATGGACTGCTGGCGTGTTGGAAACCTTCGTTCGTGGTCAATATTACTACGACAGCGATGGAGTCGACAGAACAGATTTCAACGTCGGACACGCCGGTGGGGGGTTCAGAAGGCTCTGGGTTGCCTACTTTTGAGTCTTTGTTGTCATCGACGGCTACGACATCGACTACAACATCGACGAGTCGGCGGATAGTGAGGTTGACGACGACACTGGTGGTTGATACTGCACAGGTCATGACACCAACGGTAACGATCACGTCAACGGCAACACTTCACCGAGTTCGTCCGGCTATGAGACGAGGTCCAGTACTGGCGAAAGAGAGTGACAAGGGCGATGTAGCTTCAACAGCTACAAGATCAGGAGTAATGACGCCACCGCCACCGACACCGACAACAGCGGGTGGTCAGCAAGCCCCCACAAGAGCCACCATATCGCTAAACGGAGCGGAAGAAATAGACAGACTATGGTCACAGATCAAACACGCCATGCATTCAAACCTCAACCCCTGAGAACCTCATCGCATATACAAGAGATCCTACACTAGACCTCACCACGGAGAAACCCATCATCTCAAACATTTAATTATTAAGTATTACTCGATCATGCTTCCTATGAATCATGTCATCTATCTCTTTCTCCCAAAATGGAGTATACGGTCGCTCGTTTTTCTACGCGTTTATATCGCAGTGATGTACACATGTAGTGGGTCCGTTAAGTTCCTTCCAAAACACCAGAAAAAAGCCCTCAAACCCTAAAGTTCACTGCCGCCCGCGTTTTTTCCAGCGCAAGCGGTCGATAGTGACCAAGAAAAAGATTATATACAATCACACATCGTCATCTCGGAAATCTCATGCGAGAACCATCATGTCGTTGAGTACTACGCCTTCATCTCCGCAATCAGGTACGGTCCGATGACGCTGGCAGCGGTCCAGACAACCATGACGCTCTCGACGCATAGAGTGTATGGTGCATGCCAGACACCGACGTCTTGCAACCTGACCCAAATGGCGTAGAAGGCTACGTAGAAGAAATGGTAGACCAACATCAATGGATGTGTGATCAAACCTGCAAGCATACCACATGGCTCGCTGACGCTCTTTCCACCGCGCATGAAGTACCTGAAGCAACCCTTCTTGATGTACTCCAGGTATTCGTTGTTGGCTGCGAAGAGCGAGTAGAGGGCCATGGCGAGGATGTTGATGACCGAAGAACCATGCTTGCGCTGCCAGTGGAATGTCGACATGGCATCGATGACAGCGTTGGTGTCCTCGAGTATGGGAATGTTGGCTGGAGAGAGGAGATTGGAGAGGAGGACAACATCGTTGAAGGCAACAGTCATGCCACCACCGGTGAGGGGATGACGCATGTTCATGGCATCGCCAAGCATGATGAGACCGGGTTGCTTCTGGGTGCTTGGGGGAAGGAAGGAGTTGGGCATACTCCTCAGTTTTCCTGCTTCGACTGCTTTCTTGAAGGCAGGCTGGACGCACTCTGGGAGGGCTGGCAAAGCGACGTTGAGCATATGGTTCTTGACACCGCCATTCTTGGGCGACGCGGAGGGCAGGTTTTCGGGTATGTCAATAAGGATACGCGTCTCGTGGGTACCGATTTGGTAGATGAGGATAGGTGGTTGGTCGCCGAGGATAACGTGACCATGGTTGGGCATTGGCAGCTTGGCGTCAATCATTTCAAGACCCCAGAACTTGCTGCGGACTTGGGGCTGATGAGGGTGGTTTTCTTTCCTGAACTTGGAGGCATAGCCGTCGGCGACCAGGGTTATCGCGCCGAAGTAAAAGTCTTGCTCGCCGGCGGTCTGGCATGATACACCCAAGACCTGGCCGTTGTAGTCGCTCTTGACGAGGGATGTGACTGTGGTCTCGACAATGGTGACATTGGGGGTGGATCGCGCCTTGGCACGAAGCTTGGAGATGAAGCGACCATGGTGGAAGGAGCGACCCTCTGGGGCTTTCGAAGGCGCAGAGGTGATTAGGTTGTCAGGGTAGGGGATGTGGACCTTCTCTGGACCGTATAGAATCTGGTATCCGTGGCAGGGGATGGCGTCAATGTCCTCGAGACAATCTATAGGGAGCTATTAGCATTCACCCTGACCAAAACTCCAGGCAGCAACACATACCCCTCATGCCCAGCTTCTCCAATGCATTCACACCGCCGGGCTGCAGCAGCTCGCCAACAATCCTGTCGGGCTCCTTCAAGCTCTTCTCGAGCAGCAACACGCTCCTGCCCTGTTTGCCGAACGCGACAGCCGCGGCACAGCCAAGGATGCCTGCGCCGACGATGACGATGTCAGCCTCGTGATGTTCGCGTCGCCTCTCGTCGCGGTAGTCTGTCGTCTGTGTGGACTCGACTTTGGGGACCGACTGTGTTGAGCGCCTAGTGCGAAGCTGTGGTGAGGGCGAAGTGTTGACGCCAGGCGGGAGCGCCGTTATCTTGGTACCAGAAAACATTGTGAGCATGATTGCGGTGGGTGGGCCTGTTGAAGGACCCAATTCAGCTTTATTAGGGGTGCGGTTATGAGGGTCAAGGGTGAGGGCGGTGATGACAAAATATGCGGAGCTCGTGTGGATGTGTGTGGAAAGGGCGGTATTGGTATGGGAATATAGAAGAAGCAAAAAGAGACAAACGTCAAGATCTTGTTAGGCCCAGGGTCCAGCCTTGTCGCAGGTGGCGACCGCGATCTTAAGCCTTGAGATTGAGTGCAAGGATCGCCTCACCGCCCACTTTTCTGCCAGGGGCATTGCCGGTCTTGGCCAACATGGCGTGAAGATCATCTCATCTGCCAGCTTCTTACCCACCCTCGCACCATCTGCCATCGTCGTCTGCCGTCCACAGGTTGGCATGATAATGCTGTTTCAGCATCGGTCGCGACCATGGTTGGACACAAGTAAATGCCTCTCCCATGATTCGTTCTCTTCTACGGCTAAGCGAGGCCATCAGCCGTCGCGAGCTCTAGCTTGCCACCGATCGCTGTACTCCTTCATCCTTAACATCCAAAGTTCCCATCTAAAATCTCGGAGAAAACTATACCACCCCCCTCTACGGCAAATTGCGGAGCCCATGGTTGGCTGACCTAATAGTCACCACAACCGGCTACCTTTTTCCTGTCGGAAGTGATGCTAGCCGCCCATGACTATACGTCCTAGATATCTAGCACGAACCTTATGATAGACCGAATGCGCACATTGCACATGAGTGATGTAGTCATTGCAGCAGCATCCACGCTTGCGCATACAGCTAGCCGTCACAAGCATTACCACTCGGCACCTTTCACATCTCCGACTCAGTTCAATTGGTAAAAGATGGACTCTGAGAGCCTTTGTATTGAAGAAGCTACTTGAGCCATGCCACTTACCGTGCGGTGCAGTGATTATGAATAGAAATTACGACTAAGGCCACAAGCGGCGTAATGTAGATGACGCAAGGAAATATATATAAGGAAGTGTGAGGAAGCGTACAAGCATTTCATTGTCGTGAGTCCTGCGCTTTTGTCTTGACGTGTGCACCCGCTTTCGTTCGGTATCGCGTCCAGTCCTGCAACCGTCTGCTCGTCAGATGTATAGTCGCCCTAGGGTATGAAAAAAGAAATGTGTTTGTAAAGTCGCATTGCCCGTGGATGTAGCCCACTTCAACGCCTCACCAGGAAGAAATGCAATCATGCAGGTTGAGACATGCCAACGAGTAACGAAACTCATGGCATCAATGCAGCCGACCGCTCAAGACCTCAACATCTTACATTGCTGTACCAGGCTGTTGCGTTGGGGGAAACATGGGCGATACCAAAGGAGTGTCGACCTCAATGATGGTTGATTGTCTACCGACGATTGGTCTATTGGCCCCAACCGGCTCTGCGGCACCAATATGAGAATTGCGATAGTAAGAGTCGTACAAGTCGCTCAGTCGGGCATCTTTTCGACCTGTGCCAGGTGGAAGGAGTTTGTGCGACTGACGATGGGTATCACCTTCAACGTCAGAAGACGCAAACAGAGAACTTCGCCCAGACTGCGTGATCCAGCCGTCAGACACTGATCCATCCTCGTCATCGTTTTGCGCATCATCGTGGTAAGGCTGATAGACTTGGAACCCACTCGACCGGTGATTGCTGGTATACATGCTGCTTGCGTCGCTCCCGTCTCGTGCGTGATGTGAAGTCACTCGGGATTGTAGTTGGAGCTTGGGGGCGGACGAGGGTGACTGCGCAGGCTCAAGATCTTGCAATGAAGTTAGGTGTGGCCTAATATATATCTATAAAGTTGCTAAATGTACAAACGACGCACCAGGGAGCGTGTTACCTACTCGGCTCGTGAACTTGCACGCGAGGGTAATCGTACTCAGGCGATGGCGAACGAGATTCTTTCCTCAATGCGCTGCCAGGGATAGTTGGCAACCGGGCTGTGGGTGGGCTGTAAGGCGATGGCGGTGTTGCGGATTGACCAGGTGAAGTGCTGTAGGATGCGCTTTGGGACTGATGACTGTTCCCGTCCGATGTGTAGTATGAGACGGTGAGCGCGTCGGGCGTGTCTTTGCTGGACGCCGGTGCATAGTGTTGATAGGTTTCGGATGGAGACATGGATCGGGGAGTTGCAAAGCCTTCGCTGTCGCTGTCGGATCCACCAAAGGTAGGAGAAGAGGATCCGCGGGATTGGCCAGACGATGGTGGCGGTTGTAGAGACAGGTCGTGTCTTCCGTTGAGTTCGGCGTCTGAGGGTCGGAGCCTGGAAGGCTCCCTGGTGGCATGGAGGTTCAAGCTGAGCACGCTGTTGTTGGTGGACTGGCCCTTCATGAGCGGGGAGTTTACGCTTCCCCCAACAAGAGTGCTGGTGCTCATTGCGGGATGGTCACCAATGACGGATCCTGCTCTTGACGTAGGGCGCGACTGGGCGACACCAGCATAGAAACCGGCCTCGATGGCACGAATGCCAAACAAGTCTCCTTCATCCTTCTCGCGCTGGTTCAACTCGACAGTGTCCTCCCTTGGCCCAGCCTCCAGTTCCGCCTTCTTCGCCTTCTTCAACCTTGATGTTGTTAGTTTAGGCAACACCTTGATCCAGTCATCTACTTACTTCTGACGGTTGTATAGAACCTTGACAAATCCACCGAGGATGGTAAGTACTAGCAAAGAGAGAAAGACAACACTGTCTTACGTCAGTTCTGGTTGACTCGACTGACTCCAAACAACCTACATGTACTTGTATGCCAATTGCAGGTCTCCGAACCAGTTGGACGACATTGTGATCAAGGTAGCGAAGAGGATTGCTGAGTCCAGAAGTTGGTGTTCTGGATGTTTTGGAAGAATTGCCGATTGTTCATAGGCTAAACGAGAGCCGGAGACTTCAAAATCTGAGTGGTACCACCATCTACCAGGGCTCAAAGGAGTATAAGGTCAGGTGTTCGGTCCTTCTCGGATTTCGTTTATTGGAACGAGAGTGAGTTGAAGCGGATATCGAACGATGGTATACGAATAACACAACTGTTGAGAATGAGAGGACGTGTGAACAAGACACACAAGAAGGAATGACTTTGAATTGCAAACTCGTGGGAAACCAGGGCTAGGAAAACTGCGAGGGGAAGACCTGTAAAAGAAGGTAGCTCCAGTAGTCTGGCGCTATTCATACGGCGCTGGCAAGCATGTTTAGAATCTAAAAGCGGAGGTTACAAGCTAGGTCCAAATGCCCGCGGACGAAGCGAGTCTCAACACCAATCAAAGTCCACACGCCGCCCGAAAAGGAAGACTGATTCAAGTGGCCTAACGAATTTAGTGGTGGTTTCGTTTGAAGGCCTAGTGACCCGGCATCCCCATGCATTGCCCGTCCAGCGCACACGCCACATGGGCTGGAGATTCGGAAGAGGTCCAGTTCGATGGCAGTCTGGGCGTTCGTAAGGTGTAACTCGTTGCTTGCAAACCATTGGCATCTTCTACTTGGCATTACTGAGACATTACTTTGTAGCGTTTAGCAGCCGCTGGCAATTGGGGTGGCAGCGGGCAATGACGAGCGTCGAGACTGCATGTCCCAATGACACAACTTGTGGCGGATAGGAAGCGTTTGGCGCACCTCGTATTGACGGGTGACAGAAGCATGATTCGCTTTTGGTCCCGCCCGCCATGCCCCTGACATAGAGCTGGACCAGCTATAGAGAAGCTATAGGAACAGGCAAGGTTGTCAATCCGCACATGCAAGTGGGCAAGCCAGGCCGCTCGTTAGGCCCCACATTCGGTTACTTGGCAGGGGAAAGGCACCCGCATCCGGACCAAGCGCATGTGAAAGCGGCCACTGTATATGCTTTTTTCAGCTCAGCAACGCTGGTGCCCAGGCCCTACAATCTTTTTTCCGCTTCATAGCCATGCCACGGCCATCTCCCGACTTCTTTCCGCTGGTTGCAATCTCCCGGAAGTCCGGCACCAAGTGATTATCGATCTTGGTCTCCGCCCCAGGGATCAACATAGTCTATGGATAGTTTACCGTTGAGCCTTCAAACACGCAGTCACAGTCGACGCGAAGGAAGCAAAGCAAAGCAAGCAAGCGTCGCTTCACATGCGGGGGCGCAGCTGCAGTATTCCACGCTTTACCCGACACATGTGTGACGGGAATACGGCCTGTCGCACCACCACGATTCAACGTATCAGAACGAAACGTCCAATACTCGCTTCTGACTCTGCCAGCGGCGCAGCATTTTTTTTCTTCCCTTGCCGACATGCACATTCAATTACTTGGGCGACCCGCCGGTTGAGAACGCACGGTTTGCAAAGTGGCCCAGCTTTGGGAGTGCATCGTCTGTCTGAACAGCATCATAATGGCCAAAACCCGTGGTACTCACACTGCTATTCAGATAGCGCATAGCCATTTCGCGCTTTAGCTTCTACGTAACCTCTCTCGCAGCGAGCGGGCAAATGATGACGAAGAAGGGGTTCAAGCTTGGTCTGACGCGTTTTGGGCCTTGTTGAGCGGCTCTGTGGGTAAGTTGTTGTCCAGCGTCTCGTACTTTTTCTGCGCTAGGCCGACCCATTGCACTTACACCTCGACCCATAATGCGAAAAGGAGGCAAACGCAAATTAAAGAGATTGCAGCTTTGCAGGCATGTCGCTTAATGTCATGTGATGCGACTGCTATCGATACTGGGTTTGAGTTTGAGCCCGCGGCGGTGGGTGCAACTCATCGCGGTAAGAGTTGCCAGTGAGCCCGTCGCACATGTTGTTTTGCCATCGCGTAGCATTTGCCTTCGTTTTGACCGTTATCTAGGCTCCACTCGTATCCAATTTCTTCTTTTCTGAAAATGCCTTTGTCATAGATGCATCGGTGAGCAATGCAAAAGCTCGAGATAAGAGCATCGGTCGTATGGAAAGGAAAGAGCATGTCACAGAGTGCGCTGGCCGGCCCTCAAAGACACAAAGAGCGTGGGTGGGTATATGACCCGATGACGCATTGAGACAAACAAGTTATGCTGGAAGCGATCGCCCAAAACACGTCTGTGGCGCTTTGTATTGATCAAGTCGAATCATGGTTTTTGGCGCAGAGAGAGACTGCTGGGGCAATTGGGTGGCGTTATGGTTCGTGGTGAAGGCGAGATTGCCACCATGAGGCTCTTGGCGGGCAGTCGCCATGATTGAGCTTGTGCTAGCGGCTACCCTCCATCACCACACGGGACCTTGGAACTCCCAGTCACCCCGCCAAATCGAGTCAGCACCCCGTCGTCATCTGCAATGGCTTCATCTACCAAGGCGTCCAATAAATCAAAGCTTCTCAGAACCGAGCCTCTGGACAACAAGGACGCGAAATGGGCAACGCTTGTAAAGTATGTTAATGCTCATTGCTCGACTCGTGCACCTGCGAATATGCGAACGCATACAGCCTATATATTGCGATAAACGCTCGCTCGGTCGTCGATACTAATCGTCTGGTAGAACCACCTACACGGATCCCGAAGGCGTCGAACGCACGTGGGAGTCCGGCCAGCGTCTCACACGACCCAAAGGCTCGGACATAGACGGCGTTGGGGTTGCGGCAATCCTGCAAGATCCTGCCAAGCCCAACGACGAGCCAAGGATCATTCTTCAGAAGCAATGGCGTCCGCCGGTTAACGCCACAGTCATCGAGGTCCCAGCTGGTCTAATGGACCCCAACGAAAGCCCGGAAACCTGTGCTCTCCGCGAGCTTAAAGAAGAGACGGGCTACATTGGGGAGCTAGTCGCAGACAAGACTGTAAGGCCTGTTCTGACCTTGATTGTGAGACATACTGACCTCCTACTCCGACATGTAGTTCCAAGTCAGCCCCATCATGTTCAATGGTGAGTGCCAGCACTAAGCCGTTATTCAGCATTGTCTCGGTCGATGGGCTCTCATCTCATCTCCATGTTCCTTTGTGTGCTAATGCTTTCCAGATCCAGGTTTTTGTAACACCAACTTGAGAATGATTCATGTTACCGTCGACGTTTCTCGGCCCGAAAACCAGGATCCTCAGCCCGAACTCGAGGACAATGAGTTCATAGAAAACTTCTCGGTTCCATTGAAGGATCTCTGGGAAGAGTGTATCCGTTTCGAACAACAAGGGTACGTGATCGATGCCAGGGTCGGCACACTGGCTGAAGGCATTGAGTTTGCGAAAAGATGGCGCTTTTAGCTTAATTGCCCGGCACGCCCCGCACTGTAGTAGATAACCAGGGGAGCGGACCATCGCGATCTCGTAAAACTGTAGGCTAACCTATCGAATACCCCTGACCTAAGTGCTGATGGCTTCGGGCCACTTGCTGCTTACTCACATGTCTTACGCCTTCTTACATCTACAGTCCGAAAAAGGCCCGGAATCCCCGCGGTAAATCTACGATAGTCTTTCCATTATGATCTCTACGATATGCTTTGCACTAAGCGCATGCTGCGGGTAGGCAAGTGTCAGAGAACTGTTGGTAAGGCCAGTCAGCCTAGACCTTTGGTATCATGGTATAGCTTTGCGCGCGTAGACCGGATACAATCAACGCACGTTTGCTAGCTAGATCGATATACAGCCAGCAATCCGAAACATACCTGCAGTAGGCTGGGGTAGTGCAGGGCGATGACAACAACTGACCGTATGATTATGTATTACCGAAGTGCGCATGCACTGTTGTCCTTCTCCAGGACTGCTCAATATATTCAGGCCTAGTCTCCTTTGTTGGCACGCATAAGCTATCCTTGTAAATATATTATGCCAGCTGGGGAGCGAGGCAAAATTCATTGAAACCTTCGAAGTGAACAATGTGGACGGATGAAGTTAGTGCGAATTTCGCGAGGATGTGACCTGTAGGCCGCGATTGGCCCGGAGAACCAGTAGCGCTATTCTGGGCATGAGGTCATCTGAATCCGGAAGTATGAAAAAAGCAATCCATATCAAAGAGACATGGTCGGTCTTCATCTGTTTGGCGAAGCAAGCTCTGTCATATAGTTACTGAAACCCGCTCTACGTTCACTGCGATGTCACATCTCAGCTAGCATAGTGCATCGACTACAACACCTCAGCAACCGTCACCATGGCTGCTAGCATCGACTATACTTGGGCCAGTTATTGCTGGGGCCGGCCCCACTTGACAGATCATCTAGATAGGAAGATCCCAGATTCATGGCGAAGAGACTTTCCGTCTTTTGTCATCGGTTACAAACTTTCTCGCCGCGGGAAGAAGCCAGGTAAGAGCCGCAAGATATGATTGAATATTGGAAGTTTAACATCAGTTTAGATATACAAATTGATGGGATTGTCAATGTCTATAGGTCGTTGTACGATTCCAACAGGCACAAGAAGGCCAAGAAACTCGTGAAATTGGGAGCGGCCTCGCCAGATCCACGGCTAAACGCGCGAAATTTCCAACTTAGCGAGACTTTGGAAAAATACAGTAAAAGTCTTCCCAAACAAGATCGATCACGATTTGCAGCGTTTGCTTACGGCGGAAATGTTATGCTTTTGGGTAAAAATGATACAGGTGAAAGGTGGAATGATCCGGCGCATTGCAACCCATGCTAACTATTATGAACAGATGAGGAACGCATCTGGCTCTGGGAGAACAGTGAACAGGTTGTTGAGGCGTATGTAGGATCAGGGAAACATTGGTATGGTCAGTATCAGAAGACACGACCACCGGTCTCGCCGCCCTTGAATTCGGTTCACGCTGCAAACGCGCACTTACGTGATAAGATCATAAAATACCCACCAGCTACTCTAGGAGATCCGGATGAAGTCCAGAGAGTGCTAGGTGCCCAGTATAGCGGCAACTTACGTTGGATGTTCCACTCCACGATTTTCCAGAATGGGCATGTTGAGAATTACCAGCGCATCGTCCATCTTTTTGTGGGCGTCGATGAGCTCGATCACATCCAAAAGGTACGAGCCAATTGATAATGCCATGTTAACAATGATACTCATCTATACATAGCGAATCATTGTAAAAGTACAAGGCGAGAGAACAGAAAAATCGCTTTTAGACACTATGCAACCTGAAATCGATCTGCACCAAAGGCTCACTACGAAGGGATGTCGCCATATCGTAGACTTCTATGCAGCTTCCTATCGCATACGAAGAATACCCCCTATACTGGGCTATGTGTACATGGAGTACGCACCCTTCGGCGACCTACATGACCTTGTGGACAAGCATCACTCGAGGAAGGAAAAGTATGTTATGCGTTCCTCCTCAGCCCACTTAATTGCATGGTAAGACCAATTGCTGACAAAGCTTTAGCACTGTACAAATCCCCGAGCCCATGCTTTGACACATCTTTCGGGGCGCAGCGGAAGCTGTGCTTCTCATGCAGACTGGCCGTACCATTGATGCCGACCAATCGGAAGTACCAAACCAAGTTTTCCAAGTCTCGCAAGAAGATTCCGGACCATGGGTGCCAATCGTCAACTCCGATATCAAGGACTTGAACATAGTGCTTGGTAATGCAGTCCAAGACTGTTATCCGGGATATAAAATGCCGAAAATGATAGACTTTGGATTAACGTTCGACGACAACAGGTACCCTGACGCACGTAGTAAGAAGGACGAACTTGGGGCCTGGATAACTGCTTTTCGAGGTACGACGGGCTGGAATCCACCTGTAAGTTTTCGTAATGCTCACCACCTCGGTGGTCCCAACAAGAACCCATGTTAACGACTGAATGATAGGAAGCATACGCAACGTCGTGGAAGGAATACGAGAACGAAGCTATTAATGGCCGCACGGACATATGGCAGGTTGGCCTCGTCATGCTAAACCTAATGGAAGGCCAGGCGAGAGTTCTCAATGAAAAGCACAAGGTTGGTCGCAATATGCAACATGCCACAGAGTACAAGCGCACGTATTCCTATGCACTCGAGCGACTAGCGTTTGATTGCCTCACAATGGATCCGAAGAGGCGCCCAACAGTAGGGAATATCCTGTACAGAACGAGGGTTGGAAGGAAGGCCTGGGAGCAGGCGTATGGGAATATGAACGTGCCGGATGCAGACGTGCTGGAGAGGTTTCGGATGACTTGGAGCAAGGATCCGATTGAAGAGGGTACGCAATGGATCCCAAGGAAGAGGAGGAGGAGGAGGACTGAAGAGGATGAATAAGACGAAGAAGGCGATGATGAAGAGGATGATGATTATACGGGTCATGAGAGTGACAGGAGTACTTTGATTTTTAGATTTACTGAAAGTTTTACTTCACAGAAGAATAAAGAAGACAGTCTTTAGGCTGATCATCTTGGGAGAGTATCGGGGTCTGTGATTCTTAGAGATGAGAGGAGTAATGTTGCTAGTAACAGGTGCCATTTTTGATACTTCCCTTTTCTTTGGTCTCAGACTTCTTCGTAGATTCAAGAACATGATCAGTAAACGTTAGCGTTATTCAGAAATCGACAAGTAAAATCGCGTGACAACGTGTAAGAATCCGATTTGCCTGCAGCAAGACGGAGAGGATGTAGCGCCTCCGGATTGGGGTTAGAGCGACGGAACTCACTTGGACAAAACAAGACTATAAAAGCTCCATTATGGCACCCCTCGCACGATGCAGCCCTGACTGGGGACGGGAAAGCATGCTGGCACCACCCAGTCATTGTTCTGCGGTAGTCACATGGGATTTTTTCTTTCAACGTTTGCTGCTCGCATCATCTCCAAATCCGGACGCAAAGATTAACAAAGAATTGTGTAGCTTGAGACGAGCAAAGACATCGTGTCTCTCAGATGCCTTGCCGCCGCAAATTTCTCATAACAACCAAGTATACCTTGACTGATGCGATTCAATCACTTAAACACCGATTTTTGACTTTGCGCGATATCGCAAGCCTCCTCTGTCTCAAGTTAATACTCAAAGCAGTACTGGTCCAAGCGATGACCGACGATCCATACGATCCCGACAGTTTCTGGGTTAGGGCACAGGCCATGTGTTTGAGCCGACTGATGAAGAAATAGAATTTGGTGCAACACTGGAAGGACAGGATCGAGAATACTTCTGGCTATTCCTCGTTTGCGCTAAGTTCGATGGCTAAGAGAAGAACGCTGATCCGCGTGAATGTATGCTCTACAATACGAGTCCATATGAAGTGCGTACTGATTTTGGCCAGGGGAACCACTTCAACCCCATCTGACTATCCGATATTGGAACGAATGGGGAGATGATGTTAAACAGGATTACATCGACCGTGGGAGAAGGATACAGGACCAGGACCCACGTGTTACTGATGTCTACTTTGAGAGACATAGAGTCTTGAAAATGTTTATGCGGCGTTTCATGATCAGGATGCACTTGACGAGTTCGGATTTTTCACTGTCGGGTGGAAAGTTTGTCACTTGAGATACCAAGTTAGTATGGGTACGTTATCTGAGCCTCTGGCCTCAAGACATCACTAAGCAGACTTGTAGCCGAAGCTGAGCGACACATTGTTGATTTGTGGGCCCGTATTGATGCTGTCATACAGGAGATTTATGTCGATATTGGCAAATTTACGGTTAGACGCCGCGACATGCAGATCGAAATCGAAGAAGACCCCGCCCATTACTATGAGCCCGATGTGTTACCTCCACCTAACTTTACCCGATCCGATTTGGATTTCATCATGGAGCATGACCCAGCGATTGATGATAGACCTGCCGCATCTCATTGGAAGTTTACAAGGACCCTGTTTCAGGGTATGCGTTATGAGATCGATGGCCGTTGGACACACACAATCATTCATCTCTTCATATTGGTCGACCGAGAAGGCATCATTCGTAAAGTATGCTAAGTATATCATAGGTCATTGAGCATGCTAACTAACGTTAATGCGCAGCGTATGGTCGTCAAGATTATTGGAGGGGAAAGCGTCGCTCAAATCAGAGATGAGGTAGGATCGGAGTATCATACACATGAAGCCGTTTCTAGAACAAGATGTCCCAACATTCTGAAAGTATATGGATTTTCTATTCGGAGAAGAGCGCGCAATCCTCAGCTGGGGTACATCTTCATGGAATATGCACCATATGGAACGCTTCTCGACCTTCAGAACAGAGTCAGAGATGACCCTTTGTGAGTTGAAAATGTTTGATTCAAGTTAATTTGCTGTTAAGTATACTGAGAGAGCATTAGGTACCAAGTACCAGAGCCGTTGATGTGGCTCATTTTCAGGGCTCTCATTGAGGCACTGTATACACACCAAACAGGAGAATTAGCTAGTAAAACTGAAGCACATAATCTCAACAGGCCTAACGACGAACTACCAAAGTTGGGAGAAACTGCCTTTGATGATGGGAATTGGCGTGTTGTTGTTGTCAAGTGTCAAGGTTGGGGAGAATCATGTCGTATTAGAGCTCTTGGAAAGAGGTCTATATACGCAGTGGGAAGAGGGAGTGAAGCAGCTAGGCCGTAAAGGTACTAGCGGGTAAATGGGTGGCTGCCTGGTTGCCTAAGGAGGAGCCAAGGGATAAGCCCTATGGCCGACAGTTGTCAACCCAGACATAAGAACAGAAAACGTCGTATTTGGCGAGGCACTGCAGTATTATTACCCTGCGTAAGTAACTTCGGTATCAGCATGTGGTATAGACGCTAATTCTGTACACTAACGTCTAGCTACAAAACTCCGAAGATTACCGACTATGGAAATGCTTTCTTTGATGATCCAGCCCACCCAGCTGTAAACCTGGCAGATATTGTCTTTGCCCCTCCAGGTTGGGGGCCGCCTGTAAGTATCCAATGTTACTGTCTATCTAATCGAAACATGCCGGATAGCTCATTTATATTACTAGGAACAAATTCCCAACCCTCCGGAGGCCTACAGCAAGACACCCATCAAGATTCACAGCAATATCTACAATGTGGGACAAATTATGCTCAGTCTAATGGAGGGAAGAGAGATGTTAACACCAGAACATTGTACGGAAAGGATTGTCCACCCCATCGAGTACAATAAGGTGTATAGCTTTCTTCTTGAGAAGACCGTAGGCGAATGTCTTAGGCTATCGGCCAGACGTCGACCAACGCTCGACAATCTTCTCTTCAGAAGTTTCGAGGGCCTCGCACAATGGCAAGAGGTTTATGGTCCGGTTTCTGGCGACATAGTTCCTGACTATGCGCAATGCGATTTTCAGGACGAGGAGTTTCGGATTGGGGAACCGGAGCGGGCGCATATGCCGAAGAGGAGAAGCGCGGAGGACGAGAATGAGGGCGGATCATACGATGGGAATGATGACGACGAGGGCGGTAACGAGGGCGGATCAGACGATGTCAACGAGAATCTCAATGATGTTAGAGGAGGGGTGGAGGTGACAGAAGATGAGGACGTAACAGAAGGGGTAGACATAACAGAAGGGGTAGACATAACAGAAGGGGTAGACATAACAGAAGGGGTAGACATAACAGAAGGGGTGGAGGTGACAGAAGGGGTAGACGGTACAGAAGAGGAGGACGTGACGGAAGATGATGAACTCGATTACGTGCTTGAGTCAGACGATGAGGACGTCGATAACGATGACCCAAAGGATCTCGATTATGTTTTCGAAGAGTCTTCTTCGGAAGACGAGTGGTACTTCAAAAGGAATAAAAAGGGAAAAAGGAAAAGGTGATGTAGGGGAATCATCAGTGCAATAGTAGAGCCCAGCTGTTCATGATGGGAATGACCAGCTACTAAGTTTGTATTACAACGTCTGTTGCGTTAATTGTAATTTATGGGATGTCTCAGGAGTTGATGAAATAATACCTTTCTTTATTATTCGTAATGGTTGCTGTGAGTTGGTCTCATTTCTCTGATTAGTGTTCACTGTGGTGAAGGGGAAATCATAGCATAATTCGTCTGTGCAGCAGAAACGAGCCATCCGGAGCTACTGACTCTAACAAGGTCACGAAGCCGCACTACCACGCATAAGACTCCGGCGGTACCCGCCTGAATGTCCCTTGGGAGACTGTCAAATGGGCGTTAAACCACTATCAATCAATCAATGACTCTAACAAGAAGAAGGAGGACCAACGAGAACGCCTACGTTCGGACTGCACGCTCATGCACTCCCATCTTTGTTGAGCTCAAAACATTAAACCGAAACCGGGCGAGCTTCAGTTCAAGTCTTTGTTTGACATGTGGCCGAGCGGGATTATCTAAGACACCGGATCCGGCTATCACAGCATAAAGACTTTTGCAAGCAAAACTTCCTAACAAAGACCCATGCAACCAACATCATAGGTTAATGCGTACCCAAATTCATAAAATCCACTATCTCCTCCCCTCTCGTCTTCTTGTTAACTTAGATTCAGTACACAGTAGCTCGCAGTTAGCGCTCTGACAGCTCTTGGACTTGTTATGGCTCCAGCGGATCGAATAAATATCGAAGCGCGATACCTCGCGAAAGAACTGAACATCAATGAATTGCACTCTATATACGAGTGTCGGGCCCAAGAAGAACTGCGAATACGTGAGTTCGGAGCATCGGAGGACCTCAGACAACATTGGAGAGCCGTTGTTACGGGGTACAAGTTGTATCAACGGAAGGAGAGAGGAATTTAGTCATCGAATTTACCGCGGGAAAAAGCGATGATCTAACCTAGAATTCAGGCGTTCCAGCAAAAAACGTGGTGTGCAGTGTGGTAGGCAAATTGACTGACGACTGGCAAAGACTATTCACGGAGTATTATAATGAACCGGATCCGCAAATTCATCCATTGAACTTTCGACTCACGGCGAAGATTGCGGAATAAATGGCGCAAAGGATCCCCAAAGATGCCCAGGACCGCTTCAGGGGCTTTGTATCAGACTCCGCAACAATCAATCCAGATTGGTCAGATTGATTGATTTGATTGGTCATTTGGAGTTTTTACCAACTCAATCAACTCAATCTAAGCTTTTCAAAATAGCTAATCAAATCAACTTGCGAAGGTCAGATTGATTGATTTGATTAGTTAGATTGATTTATTATTAACGAGTTGTAAGGCGAGTAGTGTCGTATTGTCAGATTAGATGAGATATTGCACAAAAGTGATGGATGTTCATGATTGATTGTATTGTTCTCTGTTCTAAGGTGCGCGCTGAGAGTTTTGTTCTGCTAAGACGCTAACCCATTATTAGCTAGCGGTGTCGGCACTTTCGGCTCGACACGCCTGCTATCTGACACACCCCCTCAGCTTGGAAGGCATATTGCAAGCTGCATAAACTGGTTGATCGATCCTACATAATGAGGCCTTCCAGTTGCTCTTGCACCTCCTTAAGCTCAATCTCTCTGAGCGGGGCTTCTTCGCGCTCGACGAGTCCCAGTTGATCAAGGAACCTGGCCCATTTATTGGCTGGCAGTGGCTTTGTGAACCCGTCTGCGATCATGTTGTCAGACGGCACATACTCTACCTTGATCACCTTTCGGGTAACCTCTTGTCGTAGCCAGTGATTGTGTATATCAACGTGCCGAAGTTTTGTTTGAAGTTTGGCTACGTCCTCTGTGACTAGTCGGATGGTCTGTTGGTTGTCGCATTTGATTGTGATTGTTGGATCGCTCAGAGTTACCCGAAGCTCCCTCAGCAGTCGCGACGTGAATATGGCCTCCTTGGCCACCTGGGAAAGAGCAAGTAATTCTGCTTCCGTGGTTGAAGTAGTAACGGTATCCTGCTTGCTTGCTCTCCAGGAGATGAGGCCGCCAAACAGCTTAATGGCGTAGCCTTGTGAGCTCTTCCTGTCCAGGGTGTTGTCTGCAAATGATGCGTCACTTGCTACTTGAAGACCTTCACCTGTGCCTAGCTCCAGAGCTAGGTTCATTGTCTTTCTTAGGTAGAGTAGTACGCGGTCCGCTGCCTCTTGATGTTCTATGCTTGGATTGACTAGGAACCGAGCGAGGCGCGATGTTGCGAAGGCGATGTCGGGTCTTGTGGTGACTGCTGCGAACAGCAGAGATCCAATCTTGCGTTGGTACTTGCTGACTTCAGCTGGTGCTGCGAGTCCTTTTCGTGGTCGGAGTTCGATGCCTGACATTGGCGTATCATGCCTTACATTTTGGTGGTTGATGAGTTGACTGATTTTGTCGACGTATGCAGCTTGAGATAGCTGTATGGTCTTCTGCTTGCGATTGCGCATGACCTCTACGCCGAGAAACCACTGTAAGTCGTCTCCTCCCGTACAAGCGTATTTTTCTTGGATCCGGTTTATGGCCTTCATTGCCTCTGATTCTTGCTTTGAATGGTACGCAACGATGATATCGTCCACATAGAAGAAGATGATAACTCCGTCCTTGATCATGCAGCATGGCTCCTGTGGTATTTGTTGAAACCCTATCGAAGCAAGAGTTGCGGTGAATTCTTTCTGCCACAGTGATGGTGAGATCCGGAGCCCGTAGAGTGCCTTTTGCACTTTGAGTAGAGTGCCAGGCTTCTGATATCCTTTTGGCATCCTCATGTATATTTCTCTGTCGATTGCAGCATGCACAAAAGCATTAGTGACGTCGTATTGCTTCAGCTCAAGATCGTATTTGGCGGCGATTGCCATGAGCATTCTGAATGAGCGTCCTGCCAATGTTGCTGCATATGTGTCTTGGGAGGTTATGTTGCGTTGTTGATCTCCCCTTACCACCAATCTTGCCTTGCATTTGATGAGGCGGTGATGCTTGTCGAGTTTGTAGGTGTATACCCACATACAGTCTAGAATCTGGTGCCCTGCTCGTTTGACTGGTGATGCTTGGACCTCAGTCCATGACTTCATTTGTTGGTGACTCTGAAGGTGTGTCTTTTCTGCTTCCTTGAACATTTCGTATAGTGGATGGTCTTCTAGCTTTGAGTATGCTGTTGGGAGTGGCGGTAGCTGGTTGCGATGGGGCTTGATTCCCTTGGATAGCAGTCTCTTCACCTGAGCCTTATCGATTGGCTTTCCTTCGTGTTGACCAATGTGTCCTGATTCGGTGCCGGCCATGAATGCGGCTGCCCATGGACTGGTCATTGATGTTGATTGGTTGGACATGTTCGTCATATCCTCGTTGTTCACCTCTCCTTGAACTAGCAAGGCCACAGGTGGAGGAGTTGGTGGCGGGGTTAGATATGCCTCTACCACCTTCCTTCCTTGGTGGTATCTGGTTTTCTGAGTGCGCGGGCTCTCTTCCTGCGTCGTATCGTCCTCGTAGAACGTCTCGGTTTCTGGTTGTTGGCTCTGAGTACCTGGGAGTTCGACTGTTCTCACCCAAGTTGCGATTTCCTCTAGGGTGTTGTGCATGAGATTGTCCATCAGGTCCTCAGTCTTGCCGTTGAAGATTGTGTCTTCGTCAAACACTACGTCGCGAGTGCTGATTACCTTTGCCATGGATGGGATCCATATGCGGTAAATGTTCGTTGACTGGTATCCCACTAGGTATCCAATCCAGGCCTTCGGATCTAGTCTCTGTAGCCTGGACTTTCCTCTGTGGGTGTCGTCTGTCATTGCGAAAGCCTTACACCCATATGCTTTTAGGTGAGCTTGATTTGGTTTTCGAGGTCCGGTGACTATGCCGTTGATGGCAGCTGCGCGCGTGAAGAATATTTCGTATGGTGTCTTCCAATTGTTTGGGTAATTTGGCGTTCGATTGTATAGGTATACCGCCGCTCTGGTAGTTTCTGGCCAGAGTTCCCATGGAAGGTTTGCATCCAGTCGAATTGCGCGTGCCTTTTCTTTTATAACACCCCCTGAGCGCTCGGCTCCTCCGTTTTGAGCTTGAGTATCTGGAGCGGAGGGCTCGAGTTTGATTGATAGGGACGTGCACCATTTTTCGACCTCTTGTTTGACGGTAACGATCTCGTTGTCAGTCTCGATGACTTTGACTGTGATGTTGAATTGTTTCTTCATGAACTGGACGAAGAGGCCTAGGAGGCGAATGATTGAGCGAGCCGGTCTGTTGTCCTTGAAGTAGAAGTCCCATGTGTATCGGGACCGTCGGCAAGTGACCAGCATTTGGCTCTTCTCCTTGGTGAAACTGCCGTCCTCATACTCATGGAAGTCGATGGCTACCCTTTCACCTGGCCCTTCGTCGTTCAGTCTGGGCGTCCTGCGTATTTGTCGTTTCGATTTTGACCTGCCGCAGGCGTCACACTCCACGGTAGTGATGCCCTTGATCCTCACCCCCTCAGATTGCTGCACGAGGTGCTCGATCGCGGACGGCCCGGGATGTCCGAGTCGTTTGTGCCATAATATGGCAGTAGCCTTTTGTGGTGATCGTTTGGCTCGATTCATACGCACATGAAAGGCTGAAGTTGATGTAGTAGGTGGCTCGATAACCCATTGCCCATAGTGTTCCGATAAGGTGGCAATGGTTGAACCATCCCATCGTCGTAGGCTTGTCGGGTCTTCTCGATTGTCCCACCATATACCTTGTCTTCGGAGCAGCCTGAATGATACGAGGCTGCAGAGGAAGTCTGGGCACCAGGCAACATTGCTCAGGTGTAGAATTTGTTTGCCCTGAGCCCTCTCTGCCGTCACCTTGACTGCTCCGTATCCTTGTATCCAAACCCTTGAGTTGCCAGCCCAAATGTAATCTCCCATCGCAGGCGGGCGTACCTCTTCGAGCCTTGAGAGGTTGTTGCAGATGTGCGTCGTCGAGCCAGAATCCAGGATGAATGCATCCTTTAATGGGTATCCTTGATTGCTCGCATTGAATGCCGCTTTCATCATGCCCTCGTCCAGCCTCGAGATCTCGCGTCCATCTAGTCAATCAGTGACTGAGTCCGGTGTTTGTGATGTCTTAATGTAGGGTGTAATTGATCGTGATGCCGTAGTTAGGCGTGGTCGCTTCGTTTCCAGGTTTGTTTCCTGTATTATCCTTTGTAAGTCTGCATCATGCTGAAGTTTGTACTGTACCAGCTTTGTGATGTGTTTGTTCGGTTTGAACCAATCTGGGGTCTCCAAAGTTGGGTTGACATAGTAGCAGCTACTGATGTCATGGCGTTGTTCACAAGC